TTGCTTATCAAATTATTATTTAATTATGATTATTAACTAGAACGTTCATTATTTGAGCGTGGGTGTTTATGGTTTATTTAGAAGGTTCGTCAGTTGTTTTTCTAGAGGATTGGTGAGAAATTCGGATATCCAGAAATGCGTACACGTTCCAGCTGGGAGAAGTTCGTGGCGAATCTGTTTTGCAAAGAGCAAGTGCAATCGATCACACCGTTTTTCTGCAGTAATGTTCTGTTTTTTGTGGCCGGTTTTAGTCAGTTGGACTTGAGCGCGGTAAAGTCGAATGTCCAATAAATAATTCTGCGATTGTTCGCTGGATAATTCGCCTGACAGCTTCTTTGATTTTCAGGAGAATCTGACGGTAATTACTGGCCACATACCAGCGGGAGCTTCTTGGAAACAAGCAGTTCATTTCGGTCAGGGATATATACGGAAAGGTAAGTATGAAAAACGATGGGAGCTTCGCGAGACTGCGGGAAACGGGGCGCTTTACAAAAACGCGAATGAATGTTTCAGACCACTTTGCACAGTTCGATTACGATAGTAAAGAGAAGAATTATCGACTGTATAATTCTTCGGTACCGCCAGAGTATGATTTGAGCAAAGTCGCTGCTCCAATCGCACTTTTCAGTAGTGATCATGATCTATTAGCGACGCCAAAGGTAGTGAATCCTTTTTGTACATGAAAAATTGTAGGTGTATGCAAATTCTTAGATTAATATTTAAATGAATGTGAAGAATTCTTTCGTAAACGATGTTACATTTATAAATATTTGTAAATGGTTTTTCTTTGTTATAATAATTTTTTAATACTTTTGTAACACTCTGACAAACTATAAAAGATAATATTAAATTTAGTAATTTGCATGCCTCTGTAAAATAATACTAAGATATGACACTATTGTTAATGTATGCAAATTCTTAGATTAATATTTAAATGAATGTGAAGAATTCTTTCGTAAACGATGTTACATTTATAAATATTTGTAAATGGTAATAGTTTTTCTTTGTTATAATAATTTTTTAATACTTTTGTAACACTCTGACAAACTATAAAAGATAATATTAAATTTAGTAATTTGCATGCCTCTGTAAAGTAATACTAAGATATGTGACACTATTGTT